CTTCTCCTGGATAGCCATGTGGCCCGGCCAAAATCATATCCAGTCTTTCGCTTCGCTAGCTGGTCCTGCGACGCTTTTTCCTCTTTGCAACCTATGTAAATCCAGTCCCACTGACAAACGCATTTTGCTGAAGCATTTCACACCTTCGTGATGCCAAGGTCGCGGCTTTGACGTATCTGCTTCCCTCCAGTCTCTGGACCCATGAAACACCAAAGGGGTTCAACGTGAGCTGTGTTGCATGGCGCTTGTGCTAGCAATGAGTATTCTTGGAAATCCGAGCAATTCCACTTCATTCTCGCAATCAACGTTCTTATCCGAGATCTCGACTTGAATTTGGCAGCTCTGGGCGAGACTCTGATTTACTTGCTCGCAGCATACGTGGCTTGTCGGGAAAACAATCTGGAGGGATGTGCTGATAGCATCAAGACCATCACTCACCGAAGCAACACGTGCTAAAGACATGGCCCATCCATTTCTTCTTTGACGACACAGCTACGCCTTGAACATCGGTTCCGACCCGTTCTCGCAAAAGGTTTCGGTGCTGCTGGACACTCTGCGTGCGTGGCGAACTCCCCAGCAACATTACGGAATGGCGGCTCTGGTGCTCAATGTGGTTTTAATTGCAACACACGGGCATGGCCATGTTTCGACACATGTTCGGTGGCTGTATAATCTAAGAAGAGTTGCTAACGCCGCAGTCTGCAAGTTTATGCAAGTTCTCTCTTGCTTTGCTTGTGGCAAGACCTTTAAGCCTTTAGCTCGAGAAGAAGATATGCGCCCAGTCTCGGCCGCAAGCTGATGATACTGATGTGCAAGTTTCAGCAGAGTAGCGAGACGGCCACCAAATGCTGCGCTGATGGGAAAAGTGCATTGAGTGTCCGTACTACGGAAGTTCCTTCGAGACTTCCTTTGATTAATGCCAGGTGTTAGGTTGATTCACCACGAATCCCTGGGGCCTTCACTCTCGAACATGGCATTGACATGGCATTCTCCTCCTCGAAGTCAATAAACAACATCGATGCTTTTACCCGGCGTCAAGGAGATGGATGGACCCGATGTCCTCTTCCCAAAAAAGGGGACTTCCTACAGGGACATACATAGACTCATTGTAACTATGTGTTGCTCACATAAGCTACTCAATTTCGCACCTTACATGAAGGAGACAAGCCTTTTTGGGGTTATACAGACCTGTCATGTTTTTTGCTGTTTGGGGTCGAGGCTGGTGTAATTGTTTATTTGTTTTGTTTGCAGCTTGGGACATTTCGATGGGACGTCCTGGAGGGTGTGTCCTGGCACCGCTGCTTCAGCCAGGCCTGGTCCCCCCCCGCAGAAAAGGCCTTCCCGGCCCCAGTGATGACCACAGCCCCGTAGTCATTTGCATTCAGCTTGATGGTGGCCAGCGCCTGCCCGAAGTCCTCGGGTCGGTCCGAATAAATAAAATGAATAGAAAGAGTCCTCGGTACCTCAGAAAACAGTTGCGGTGGGTACATGAAGCAAGCACCAGCGGTCCCCTGCGATCCCCTGCTAATGCAATGTTCGCCCATTTCTCACTGGAAAAGTGCTCAAGAAAAGGGAACTGAGCTCCCTTCATGTCAAAGGTTCCTCCACCAGCTGCGAAGTCATGGCGTTCATCTTCTCTGGGCTGTTCAACACGATGCGCGCCACCCGGCCGACCCTCTCCAGCTTCACTGCCATGGTCGGTGCACACAGCGCCCTTCAGCGCCCTTCAGCGCCCTTCAGCGCCCTTCACACAGGTGCTTATGGAGTGTCGTCTTTTTGGCTCCGCTTGGCTCTGGTGCTTTGCTGGTGCTGTTGTTGCTGACGGCTGCTAGTGAAGGCACATGGCGGGCTCTGTTTGTAAGATCTGCAGTAAACCCCTTCTGCCCCTTGGGCTTGTTCCACGGCCTGGGCGATGAGCTGTGGTGCTGCCAATGTCCGTGCCCGTTTTCTTGCCTTGTGCCGCTCGGCACAAAGTCTCCCGCTTTGCAGGGCAAAGTGGGCCAAGTCCCCCGGGCTGTGAGATGGGTGAGATTGTGGTGGCGACAAGTCGAATTCCTTTGCACAGACTGGCTGGCTGCGCAGCCTTTGGACAAAAGGACGACCAAAAGTCCAGAGCAAAGCAGTGGACCCCTTCAATTGCTGGTCAGTCACGCTCAACCTGCGACTCCAAGACCTGGCATCCAAAAGTGTTGGCCGTTGCAACGTCTTCCCTTCACAAGGCTTCGGCCCAGAGTCCAAGTTTCCAGCCCTCAGACCAAGAGACTCACCCCATTCGGAGCCCGATCGCCTCACGCGATGGCCTCCAGAACTGCATCTCCTTCCGAAGCACGGTTCAGCCGCTCACAGAAGCTGGACATGCACAGGCAAGAAGTTCTTGCTTGGCAGACTATCCTTGAACCATGTTTGGCCTGGAAGCATTTTTGAAGATTCATAGAAAAATGTTCAAGTGCGCTCTCAAAACCTCCCGCATGTAGTGAAGTAGCTGTTTGGCGCATTTGGGTATGTGTCAAAAGAGGGACCTCCCTCTTTTGATTCGGTTTTCCTTTGCAAACCACACTCAATACCGTCACAAACTACATTTTCTGGGCGGATGTGACCTCGCCTCCGCATCAGCCGAGGCCAGCAGCCAGGGGCAATCGCTGCTCCACGCCACGCCTCGAACTCTCGCGCTCCCGGCAAAGTGCCACGCCTCTCCAAAGTGCCACGGTTCAAACAAGCCAGGGCTAATCTCAAAGAAACCATGTGCAAGCACGAGCGAGCTGAGGAGAAAACCACTGGGTTGGCGCTGCGCATGGCCTCCGTGAACCTCAGCAATCTGTACTGCAACATCAGTTGGGTGTGGGTCAAACACGGAACTCTGATATTCCCTTTGTCAATCCCATCGGCCTTGATGACTACATGTTCGAAAAGGACAAAGCGAACTCCCAAGTGCCTGGTGAGGAAGGTCCGAGAGCCCCGCAAATGTCACTCCAGGAGCCTCCATCCCCTTAGCCACATTTGACAGGATCTGCTCTTTTCTTGCAAAGGTTTCACAAAAATGATAAGCCGTTCGAGCAAGTCACCGGAACAGTCTTTGGCAGGAGAATGAAATACGCTTTGACCAAGAGTCCGGCATCAGCTCTCTGGTTGTGGGCCTTCTCCACATCCCAAAGCCTCGCAAGGGCTCAACCTGGCCACACTCCACAACCCCAGTCGGTTACGCTGCTTGAGGCCATAGCAGCACGCGACCATCACCGTACGCAGCTGCCAGCCTGAAGCTACACGCCAGAGCTGGTTCTCAAACAGTGCCAAAGAATCCAAGAGACCTATCAAAAGTCCAACACATAGGCCGCCAATCGGAATGCGCATGATGTGCCTTTTTGCGAAATGTGTGGTGAGGCGAAGTGGTTTAAAGGCGAGCTGGGGCGTTTGGATTAAGCTGCTGTCTGAATTTAAAGCACACATGCAGTGAAAACAGCATGTGGCACGAGGTTTGCATCTTGTCTCAAACGCCCCAGCGCACGGGGTTTGCAGTGGCCACTGCTCATGAAGAGCTCTCAAGGACCACTGCAGGTGCAGCTCTGCCTTGTGACTGGCAGGCCATTGTTGCCCACCATTTTTTGCCAGGAAAGCTGGTGTCACGAGAGAATCCTCCTTTGGACACCGTTTTCCATGCGCAAATGTCCGAGCAAATGCTCGAAGGTCATAACCTTTTGCGTGGCAAAAGGGCTCAGAAGATGCGTTTCTGTCGGAAAGCCCTTGCATCACTCTGACCGTGCATTCATTGGCTTTCCATGACCCTTTTGCAATCGGAGTGAGACCTGCTTTGGCTGCTGCCTGTGAATCGAGACTCATCTTCCACGCAGGGATTACATTTAAGTGGTCTTTTCAGGACCTCGTAACATCACTTCATTTGAGTCAATGACAGTGGCCATTTGTCAAGCACATGGCACTTGCCCGGAACGCGGGTGATGGAACACGGGAAAATCGGATCTGGTCCCACACCCTTTGAAAATGTGCCAAGTAATGCGGTCGCTGAGCACAGGCCACGAGTAAGTGCAGCCCCCGCCCTGCCCCTAGCAACAGGCAGCGTTCATGCTCAGCGATTGGCCATTACTAGTGGATGGACCGGGAAAGCCTCTCAATCTCCATTCGTTTCTTCCGTAGTGCAAACGCAAACAAACACACTTCTCAGCCGCGCTGGTCAGTGCCAGCTGGCTCTCGCCCTGTGGAGACTTTCGGTAGTGTCCTTCACCCGGCAGAGAACTACACTGGAATGGGTACTATACTCGGATTGAACCTCTCAGCTGCACAGTGTGGCTCAGAAAGGAGGAAAAGGATATCAAATTACGATAGTTTGCAGTCGGGCAATCCGAGCGCAAGTAACGAAAAGCCGCAGCTTACCCTCGCATCTGCTGTCGCGAATTCCCACATCGTACGATGTGCCGGGAAGACCCGTGAAAATTGTCAATCAAGATGCAGGCAACAACTCATCCTGTGGGATCTTGCTTTGTCGGCTCACGTCGCCGTTTCATGTCCCACGTATGCAGCTGAACCTGAACTCCTCTATCTATCTCCCCCTCCCAGTCGGGTACTGGGTGCCGCGCATGTGACGTCTCTGACTTTGCCGGAAAACGTCGGGCGTCTTTGAAAGTCTGTTGCATAAAAGATCCAGACTCTGATTCTCTCGTGGCCCCTGGCGGAGGAAGTGTGCCGAGCTATCTCACTCAACATTGGTGCGTGAGTCAAAGAACAACCTGAGGACAACGCATAAACACACTGTAGTCAACTAATGCCATCAGCGCACATGGGCTTGTCATCTGGAATACAACTCCGTGCATGCTTCCACTACTGCAGCCGTCTGCCGATACCCACTTAACCGCCAGCAGCAAGATCCGCATGCCTTGGAGCTGGAATTGCGGCGTGCAAATAATTAACTTTATGGCAACCAAAGCCCCAACATCCATGGGAAAAGGCGAAGAGATCTCAGAGGTTGACTCGTCTATGCTTGCGGTGCAACTGCTGGATGAAAGAAAGGTGCAGCAGAGTTGCGGCATCGCGAGTGCCTCATGCAAAGCTCGGGAAACAGTACTTGTTGCTGTTATAAAATATAATTGGTTTTCTCATTTTCGGCCCATGGAAACAACACCTATTGCTACCAAAATCATTGATTTCGACCGTCTGGAAACGGATGACTCTGGCGAGGCAGTTCGCCATGCACCGCTGTTTGTTTGTTTGTTTTTTGTTGCTTTTTTTTTAAGGGCAACCAGAAGCAAATGGATCATTCTTGTTGGGGTCCTCTATTTTAAACACTCCCATGTTTATATCTGAGATACCATGGGCATGCACACCGGCATCATGTTGGACTGCATGGGCATAGACATCGACTGCACCATACTCGCGGGCACCATGCAGTTCATGCTGCTCATGCCGTTCATGCTGCCAGCCTGGTGCCGCTGACACTCTGAGAGGGGGGGAGCAAAGAAGACGCCTCGAGGTATCTTCGAAAAAGGTAGAAGAAAGAAAATGACATCTTAACATAATATGGGGTTGTCTTCAAGTAACGGGGGACCTCAGAATGGATGGACCCCTTTGCTTTCCCTTTACAACAAGACAATCCAATAAATGACCCAGTCTAGGATGTCTGCCAGTTGTGACATACACCGAATTATCTTTTCTGTGCCTTCCTTGGCAGGATATCATTGCCCATGCAAAACGTGCCCAAGAGATCACAACTCGTACGGCCTTGCCTCCATTGGCTGCATCACAACAAACCTTGGAGCTGCAAACTTTGACTGCACCGACTGATGCAATTCAACCACACGAGACATACAAGTGGCTGAGTGGAGTGAAACTGACATGTTGTCACTCCGGTGTTTGGTTGACCCTCCGAAACTCTTTGCCAGCTCATCACAAACATCCATTCGGATGTCCTCAAAAATTTCTGCTGGAGAGCTGGTACGGCATCGATGGACTGCACGCCTGACAGAAATCCGACTCCTTGGGGGATGGTGTTTTATGGAGACCGCTTCGATAAGCGGGGGTGGGGGGGTTTGTTGTTCGACAAAAACGCGGAACAACAAGACCCCCCCCCGGCGAACAACAACAAGTCCCCCCCCCCCTCTCACTTGTTGTTCGACCCCCTCCCCCCCAACAACAAGTGTTGTTCAACTCCCCCCCCCCCGGCGAACAACAACAAGTCCTCCCCGGCCTCCCCGCCCCCCGGGCTTGTTGTTCGACCCCCCCCCCCAAACAACAAGCCCCCCCCCCCAACTTGTTGTTCGACCCCCCCCCCGAACAACAAGCCCCCCCCCCCACTTGTTGTTCGCCCCCCCACCCCTGCAAAAGATGGACAAGCCAAAGCGGCCAAGAAAGCTTCGCTTTGAAGCGAAAGGCCCCGAAACTTTTGAGAGGGGATTCAGACTCTGCCTTCTGAACGCCCACTTGGAGGGCGCCGCCGGAACAACAAGTCCCCCCCTCCCCCACTTGTTGTTCAACCCCCCCCCCGGCGAACAACAACCAGCCCCCCACTTGTTGTTCGACCCCCCCCCCCCCAAACAACAAGTCCCCCCCCCCCCACGTGTTGTTCGACCCCCCCGTTCCGGGAACAACAAGTCCCCCCCCCTTGTTCCCCAGAACAAGAAGTCCTCTCCCGCCCACTTGTTGCTCGACCCCCCCCCCGCAAACAACAACAAGTCCCCCCCCCCCACTTGTTGTTCGACCCCCTTTCCGGGAACAACAAGTCCTCCCCCCCCCCGCACTTGTTGTTCGACCCCCCGGAACAAGAAGTCGTCCTCTCCCCCCCCGCACTTGTTGTTCGACCCCCCGCCCCCGGAACAACAACCCCCCCCTCTCCCACTTGTTATTCGAGCCCCCCCCCCGCGAACAACAAGTTGGCCCCCTCCACTTGTTGTTCGACCCCCCCCCCCAGAACAACAACCCCCCCCCCACTTGTTATGCAAGCCCCGCCCCCCCGAACAACAAGTCTCCCCCCACTTGTAGTTCCAGCCCCCCCCCGAACAACAACTCCCCCCCTCCCCCCCGCTTGTTATTCGAGCCCCACCCCCCCGAACAACAAACCCCCCCACCCCTTATCGAAGGGGTATGGTTTTCCATAGCAACCCTGGTGCTTGTTGCCTGAAGCAAACAAACTGTGAGCTGAATCCAAGTTAGGACGCGCCTGATTTCCCGGAGTCGCAGCACCATTCCCAACACGCCAGATCATCTGGCCACAATGGCTGCAGAAAGGTCCGGTTCTGCACGTGGGGCAAACCTGTCACAGGAAAACTGGCGGCAAGTCCCAGGGGCTCGACATGTTAGTAGAACTGTCAAGTGCGCAGTACTGCACAAAACATATGATTCAGGGTATTTGGCACCACTGCTGGCCCTGCTTCAACTCCTGTCAACAGCTAGAAGGGAAAAATATCGCATGAAGCCCGCGTGAAAACACCAATGGGCCACAAATGAGCACCGATCTGTGATTGACCTCAGCAACAACGAAAACACATTACAAAGAAACCCAACGAGTCCAAATGGGATGCCATTTGGGCGAGGTGCGTTCTCGAAGCGCTTCACAGGATCGGATTGCTCCGCTTCCTAGGGCAGAGTAAGACCAGCACGCAACTGGCAAGAGCAGCCGGCCGGGCAGCCTGTCAAATGTGGCAGCATACTTGGAAACAATGTGAGATTCGAGGCGATTCGAGCATGGTTTCTTAATGCTTATTCTCCACAACGCCGTCCTTCATCTCTTTTGGCCCAGTGCTGGGTGGCGCCTGCGACAGGCTTGGAAGAGGAAGCCATGTGCTCATGTGTCGTGTATGTTGACGAACATCAGAGTCTCCACGTTTCAGGAGAGGCCAGGGATCCATGCAAAGCAAGATAGGAGCCGCTGTCAGACTGCGCGCCTCCAGCTTCATGGAAGCCATGTCCTGCCGTCAGAAAGCCAAACTGCAAACAGAACATGAGCCCCAATTTGCACATTAGACGAAGAGTCCAGCTGCTGCAAGGAGAAAGGCTACAGGATATGTCCACTCAAGATGTTGACGCAGCCCCACCTTGGCCAAGGTCTCTGGGAGGGTATAACCTGAGCGCAGAGAGGATTCACATCTGCAGTCCACTGGCTATCTGAATCTACTTCAGGGGCCCCCTTTGCAGCTTTGTCAAGTGCAAACTGATGTGTGCTGCCGAACGAAAGACAGAAGTATGCCCTTCAGTCACTGCAAAAAATATCACTCATTCAGGATCCGGATTGGGTTCCCCTGGCCTCCCCAGAAAGGTATTTTAGTTAATGAGTTTAGGTTCCCAATGGTTTCCTACGGCTCAAAAAGCCCACAGGAGCCCAAAGCATGGGGAACCCTTTGGGGGGTTGAGGGAACGCGGAAAACCATTGGCAACCCGCCTTTCCAGTTGTGACATAAACTGGGCTTCCACGTAGCTTCTTTGGCCAAGGTATCAGTAGGCACTTCCACTGAGTCGCAAAGTTATCAACTCTCAAGTCAAGCTGCGGCTTCTTGGGTTGCCCCTGCCCCACAGGTGAAGCACAGTTAAAAGCTAACATTGTAGAGACCAACCGGAAGCCCCGAAGCCTGCTGCGTTTGATGGGAACGCTGCTGCATCTTCTGCAGTGGATCTTGCGTCGGAACAAGGCACTGAAGAATGCCAATGAGTTCCTCTCATGTATCGTTAAAGTTGCTCAGGACAAAAAATTGTTCCAGAGGCCACGAAGACAGCTTCTGCAAATCCCATTCGAAATGGAGCGATGAGTCCGTTTCACGCACAGGCGATTCATGCGCCTGTAACCTACCTCGCCTTCAAGCGAATATCAAAGCAACCAAAAAATAATATGGAAGTATGTCTACACTGGCCATCCCACAAGAGTACACAACCATCAATGTACAGCAGCAACTGCAAGAAATATGGAGGAAAGAACAAAAGAGGCCCCATCGAGTCCTCAGTTGCAAACCATGCAGCAAAAAGGCCGCTTTGGTTGACCACCCCTTCCTATGTTCGGCCGCAGGCCGCTTAGGCCGCTTCGGCCACTTCGGCCACGGGGCTGGAGGGCGCAGCCAGAAACTCGCGCAGCTGCTCGGAAGCTGAGGCCACGCAGCTCTGGAGGCCCAAAACCGCAATGGTGGAGCCTTCCGCCAGCCCTCCCCGTCTCTCTGATTTGTCCAATCGGACCACAAAATGGCGAGGTGTTCCTTCGGTTTTCCCGACCAAATTGGAGTACAAACACACCCACATTGCCTCACCATCAAAAGGGGGTACCCTCAAAAACGACACACCCAAATTGCTTCACAGTCAAGCTGATGAGAAGCATGCTCGACAGAAATGAAAAAACTTGGGTTGGTTTAGCAACTGCCCTCTTGCCGAGGCAGGAACACGTGTGTTTGTTTCATCCCAGCTTGGCATCAGTGCCGATCCCAGAATGCCGAGCAGCCTTGTACACGGAAAGTTGCATTGCAAGCCTCAGCACAGACAAGCCAAGACGAACTTAGCATCTCTATCATCAGCAAAATTGCCAGTGATGCGCCCCACGTTGTGACGTTTAGGCCACACCAGGATTTGCCAACTCAATCCAGCAAAGATTCGTCCCAGTGCTTCTGCTCGCTGCATAATAGAATGGAACAAGCGCAACATAGATCCTGTCACCTAACCCTCAACCCTAGTCAGCCCCTATCAAAGCGTGACAGGTCAGAACAGCTTAGGCAAGCAGCTTGCAAGCCCATGAAATGGAGACATGAGCTTGAGCTTTGCTTGCGCCCCAAACACATCTCAACGTCGAGTCGGCAAAAAATTGCTGAGCGAACTAGCAAAACGTGCGAGAATGTCTCGTTACCTGTCCCATTACAGATATCAATGGGATTTGTATATTTGTTCAGTCCACAGTAAGCTCGGATGTCAACTTCACGCATGTGCCGTCTTAGCCAAGCCGCATGTGCAATGGACTGTAACATCGGAGAAGTCAAAGACATTGGGTCTTGGACTTGAACAACCTCCTCTACGCAAAGAGGAGCCATTTCCTTAGAAACGTGTCCAACACTTGATGCGCGTGGAGCATAGAGCCAGGCATGTCGGAAGCTAATCAAGCTAAGCTGCATCAATAATCTTGCTCGCAACTTCAACACCCGCCTTGGGGCCAAAAATTCTGACCTGTCAAGGACAAGGCGACAAGAGGTCTGCCAATCCTGCAACTCGACTCTTCGGATGCTCGGAAGGTCATCCTGCCTCACAGCTGCCTCGCTCGATGTGAAGACGGCAGCCGCTCTTCTCCTGACATTCAAGAACTCAAAAAGAACCACAGTCGACCAGTCGACCAGTCGACCAGTCGACCAGTCGACCAGCCTAATTCATTCCATCTCTCCGTCCTGCACCCAGGCCACCGAGACATAGGGCAGCGCCCCCAAGTCCTCGAGCGACATGGTGCGGGTCCGCATCAGCTCCGCCCAGACCTAGGAACTCAGGCAAAATAGACATGGCGCTTAATCCAGAAAGCGAGGAAGAAAGGAAGAAAACAAGAAAAGAAGGAATAAAAGAAGAAAGGAAGAAAGAAATACAGAACCTCCTACCCCCTCTTGCACTTTGTCTGAAATTTGAGAGATGAAAAGTATCAGCCCAATTGTTGGTCGCCCTGAAGAGACAAACCCAAAAATAGTTAATTGAAATAGACAGTGGGTTGAAGTTGGACCAACCTCCACAAACTATGAATCCTTGCAGCGGCTGCCTAAGTTCTGTTATACTTTCCATAACATCCTAATCATGCTGAATGCTAGAACGAAGCTCAGTGCGGTGCGGAGAGCGTCACTGACCTTCTGGGGCCTGTGCGTGCTCAGGCAAACGCCACGCAAACAACATCAGTCAATAAAGAAGATCCGGCATCAACAACAATTTATGCCCAGGAAACAACTCCGGAACCTCACTCGCATCTGCAACATCGCTAACATACGCTTCAAATTCAGACTTGCAGATGGCTTTACTGTGTTCGAGTTATTAATTAGGTTCGTGGGCTGGTTTTCTAGGCTTGGCAGAGGGATAGGATGAATGTAAATGTAGGGTGGGCTGGATGGTTGGTTCTAGGTCAACTTGAGGTGCATTGAAGGTTGTTTTGGGCGCGTTTTGGGCGGCTTAGTGTCCTGTTGCTGTAGGTTTAGCTGCATGACATGTGCCGGCGTTGTTGTCGATGCAGGTGCAGTTGATCTTCTTTCCCTTCCTTGCCCTTGCTGTTGCTTTCCATCCCCTTTTCCCCCTCCTTTGCTTTCGTCCTTCCTAGTTGCTTGTTGATTCCTAGTGCAATCTGCGGCATCTTGTTATTATTTGCTGTGCGCAACAGCACTAAGCTGTCCCACATCTCTGATGCCTAATAAGTTTCTGTTGTCTAGTGAGTGCTTGCTGAGTGCTTGCTGATGCCCCAATGATTCCAATGATTGGCACGGAAACTGGCGTTGATCCCGGGAAGTCTGGCCCGCGCTGCCCCGTGCCTGAGAGGCTTTCAATCGCCTGCTTGGCTGCCTGGCATCGTGGCATCCGTGGCATCGGCAGCCACAGGCCACATCCGAGACGCCCAAAACTCTGACCGTGTCGGCGTGTCGCTTTCGATTGAATGCACTGGAGAAAGTTCCGGGAGATTCACGAAGCTCAAAACTAGCACAAGACATCGGCAGGCACACCCGCCTTAATCGCATCCTGCGATCCTGTCACGTACACAACCTGCCTGGTCCGGTCCAGCCGCGCGGTGACCTGGGCAACTGTTGCTCTGAAAAGAATCTGTAAGAATCTTAAACCCGGGGATCGCAAGTTGCCGGGTTTCAAGGAAACCGCCCTAGCAGGGTCCCAGCCAGTTTCGCACATTCCAATCTCGTGTTGGTCAATGTTACAGCATACTTAGGCTAGGGGAACCAAAAGGGGTCCCAAAAATTGAGACATATGTCCCTGCCTTGCAGCTAGCTTGCAGATCACGAAGGCGGCGCCGGCTACGATGACAAAGAACCGTGACAAGCTCGTTGTCAAGTTGGATCTCCTGGCGAGTGACTCAGATCGCAGGATCCAGCTCAGAAAAATGCAAGGCTCTTTCAACGGGCTTCCCAAACCTTTGAGCCTTGCAGCTCATGCCTTGACCTCTCAAGCTCAGTTCCGCTCTCCTCTGAGTAAGCCTCGGGTCAAATCTGCTCCTCTCTGTACCCCCACAGTGACAAGCTCCAGACTCCAGGAGCCACCGGACTCAGAAGCCCTGACATCGGCACGTCGTCGTAGCCCTGACTCTCTCGATATCGCTCCTAGGATCGCTCCCTCTCCGACTCTCCCCGCCTCCATTGGAAAGATGTACCCGAGTTTGAATGTCGCAGCTGCGGCACAGAAGTACAGTGAATGTAGATGCCAAAAAGGCCTTTATGCGGCTAAGTCGACGATGCTAGCAGCAAATGTCGACAACCATTTACCAGCAACAAACATGTTCTCCAGCTCAGCTTTCTGAGAAGGGAGCATGTTGTTGCTGAAAGGTGACCAGGTCATGTGTGACACGCCCTGAAAATCTGCACCTGCCACGGCTTGCAGCTTTAATTGACAAGCAACTACGATTGCTGGGCAATTTGCTTTCCAAAAGCACACTCTCAGTGAGATGTGCAAGTTACAATTCCGGAAATCATTGGATTGCAAGTTATCAATCACTAATTCTGAGTAATTTGTTGTTAGGAGGTTTGTCTTTTATGTGGATCCTTGGCTCGTGTCATTGGCTCTACGCAGCTCCCACATAGGTGTCCACACACCTGGCTCTGAGGTGCGCTCCGTCCCAGCTGAGGTTGCATGGCTGGCCAGGATGCCTAGAGGGAGGTTTAGAATCAGGGGGACCCCTCATTTGGGCTTGGTACAAGGACGGTGAGTTTGGTAGATGGAAACACGGCTTTAAAAAAAGAAAGAAAGAAAGAAAGAAAGAAAGAAAGAAAGAAAGAAACGTCCTTCTTTCTTTCTTGGCGAGCGATAACACATGCGACTCGGGGCGGTGGAAGGCCTCGCCTGATCTCCCACAGCAAGATCCTGTCAGCTCCTCCGGAGGCAAGCCTCTCGATTCCACCTGAACATGCGTGTCTGCAGAGATGTTAAGAGTCATCTGATGCAGTGACTCTTCTCTAGACTCTAGACTGCACGCAGACTTCATGTTTTCAAATTCCTGGCATCCTGTTGCGGATGTGGCCAATCCCGAAACTGCACCATGGGATTGCTGCTTCGTTACAGACGACGTACGTCTGGAAAAAGATTCTCAGACTGACCCAAATGGGTCTACGAAAGTAGAGAGCCACCAAGATAACGAATGCCCCGTGACTATGGCCTTCCATCGCCCACCCGCCACGAGTTGGATGCAAAATTGTGTGGGTGAGGAGGATGCTTGCACTGTGGCTCTGCCGGCCTTGGGCACAGTGAACAGGAAGCGCACAGTGAACAGGACCACGTTGGCCACGCTCTTTCTGCTGCGTTGATCGAGGCAGGACAACAGGTCGACCAGTGGACATTCATGTACAAACCACTCATCAGGCCCAGGAACGCGGCGTAGAAGTGGCCCCAGCTGACTTAAGCGCCGGAAAGGGCAGCGACCAAGTCCAACTTCAAGCGAGACTTGGGCCTGGCCAGGATGTCTCCGAGGACAACGAAGATTGCCAGCACCTGCAGCCCAACCTCGAACTTTAAGCGAAAGGCACGCTACCACTGCCTGTCGGCCTCTTTATGTATAATCCACACCGAGTAGTTGGGTCACCGCGCAAGCCAGAAACATGCTGCCCCAGTTGTTGAGGCTGCAAAACAGGATCCACGCAAAGACCGTCGCCAGCTGGTGTTGTACATTGCCGAGACCTCTGTTGGAAGCTAGCCCACCATCCCTGGCACCACGAAGACCGCAAAGATCAAAAAGGGCCCGAAGGCGAAGGGGCAGCTCGCTGCCTCGCTGCTTGCCCATTTTAACTTTGACAAAGGTCCACTCCGTGGGCTCGGAATCAATTTCACTCTCAGTCTCGAGTCCGCCGCGCTCCGATCGCGTCTCACATTTTCTTGAGCGTCTCCGGCTACGGAATGTTCTGACAATTTCCTACAATTTCCAAATATCTCTTGGCCGCAAGCCCGTGCCTGGAGCGAATTCAGCACAATGTGCCGGACCCAGGTGGCAATGCCGCTGGAAAATGGTGCTACCTTGCCATCCGAGAAGCAAGGCATGAAGCTCTGTTCGTCCATCTCATTTTAGTGTGTCCCAGCCACCCTACTGAGCCAGCGACCAACACGAGCATCCCACAAGGTGCAGCAGCCATCACTGCCGGATGTGGCGAAAAGCTGGGGTGAAGCAGTGCCTCACTCGCCGGGCCGAGCAGCCGGCGAATGGATATGATTCAAATGAGGCGTAAAGCGCCTCCAGTCTCATTTGCATGTTGACTACTTAACATTTCTCTACCTCCAGCCAGCGCCAGATGTACTGGAATTCTGAGCTGCGCACTGGCTGCCACTGCTGTGGTTACCGAGCTCTGCCCTGTGAGCAAATCAAACTCGCATTCTGCAGACCGAATTGTGCGTCAAGAAACCCTCCTGGAAAGGTCTTCACCAGGCTGCCCACTTCCACGTCCCACAGATGTGCTCCTGTTTGGGTGAGAACAGCACCACAAACGAAAACACGCACCACGCACACACAGACACACACCACTCTCATAGTCCTGCGGCGCTTCCAGCCAGCAGTTGACAGCCTTGAGTGCTTCCGAAACCAAGCATCGAGTTCATCGGGCGACTAACTTCTGAGCGCCAACCACCAGCGCCCATCCAAGAGGTGCCACAGCCGCCAGCGGCTTCAATTGCCAGCCGCCTTTCGGGCCCTTAGGCTAGGACTGTTTGGTCCATTCAAGGAAACGAGTTTGAGAGCTCCATGTGTTCGACGTATTCAATAGCTGCATTGCGCAAAGCTCATCACAAGTTCATGGCAACGGGAATGCTAAAAGCCATGGTCTAGAGCCCTGATGCACTCGGTCGATTCTTCAATAAAACATCTACTATGATTTCCAACAATCATCTACCACCGCGATGCACCGTTGAGCTTTGACTATGGCATCCTATTGCATAGACCGTAGCTCTGCCTTTAAGGCCCGCGCTGCAGGTGTTGTTTGCCGCGACCTGCGCAGCTTCTCTCTTTGCTATACAGGTAACAAGACGTCGCCGCCCAAATCAACATGTAGATACAGGATCTGGAAGGCCTGGTTGAGGGCAAGGGCTTTGTTCAACTTGGCTTAGGGCTGGAAGTGGGAGGGAAGGGAGCCATCAGAGCCGAACTGGCCCCGCCTCATTATGGTGAGTTTCGGGCTGGCAAAGGTGGGGTTGGTCTTCGGGCGGTTGGGACAGGATAGTTTGCACGGTGATGGTTGAGACGGTCGGAATGGCCAGCATGGTTAGGGGGAGGTTCAGTCCGGGCTGAGACGACTGGCGAACCTGCAACAAATGGCATCTCACCCCACTCTAAAGCAAAGAACATTCAAACCGAGCCCAAACCATCCCAAGACCAACCCTTGACCAAAACTAGCCCCAAGCCTCTCAAATCCCCCTAACCTTTAGCCCACCAAAGCTATCCCTAAACCATCCCTAAAATAGCCCCAGACCCGTGGCAAACAAACTAACCCCATCCAAAGCAAGCCCTAGATCACACTAAGCCCCTTACACAAGAACTAAGAAAAATTACCAGCCCCACAAAACCCACGCGGAACTAAACAGCCCCAGGCTAACCTGAAACCCATTACTCCCAAACACTTGCACGCTCTTGTTCGCCCCAGAACAAAAACAACTCTTCAAGTCTCCCAAGGACATCAAGCACTGAAACCAGTAGGGCCGGCGAAGCCGGTGGTCGGAAGGTTCAAACATATACAACTATTATTAGTTTCACGCGGCATTTTCTTGTTTCGTTGTCTTTTCTTGCGATTTGTCATCGTTGATTCTTCATTGTTATTCTCTTTCTTTTTTTTTATTTGCTCTTTCCTTCTTTCTTCGCTTCTCTTCTTTCTTTCCGTCTCTCTTTCCGTGTTCTTTCTTTCGCTCTTTCTTTCGTGGCTCAGGTCTTCCATTTGTTTTCTCTTCTGACTTCTTGCTACTTCGCGTTGTTAACATGCTCCTTGCATTGACACCAATCAGTAGCAGCCTTAGCTGGTACCGCAATTACAGGGCACTCCGATTCGAGGGGCGAGTCAATCTCTTGGGACACATCATCTGCCCCAAGATCCAACATGGGCCGATGGCGTCTGAGAGTGTGGGAGCCGCTTGTCCGGCATAGTTTAACAGTTATAACAGTTACAGCCGAAAGAAAAGGCCCATCTGAACCGTCCCCAACGCAACTGTCCCAAGCATCCATCCCGACTGCCCGAGCTGTTCCGCGCCAACTGAACACCATTCCAGCATCACTGTGCCGTCCCATACGTCTCCGCAAAATTGTTGTCAGGATTTTGCATCTGCTTTCTGGAATTTGTACAGTCCACCCCGTGTCTCCGTCTTTGATCAACCCAGCCTGCCAATCGGCCGCTCGAAAAAGAAGTACCTCACCTGAGACGCAAAAGACCGTCTCGAATGAACCCACTGGTGATTCGTGGTGCCAGCAATTTCATATCACCCGATCTGCCTGAACCTTCAGCTTGAGATGCAAGAAGAAGATAGGTATGCCTCCGGTACACAGGTCGACTTCAACCTCTGTACAAGGATTCAATGGAAGAGGAGACAAAATGAGAGTATGGATGTATAAGATGTGTCGATGTTCTTGGGAAGCGGCAGCTGAGAAGAAGACACAACGCAAAAACTTGGAATCTGAAAAGGCTTTGAAGGAAAAAACATGGAACATTGGGTTGCCAGCTGCAAGTGGGTGGAATTGCGCCAACCGGTCTCTCAGGAGACGGCGGGCTGCAGCTCAAATGCTCCACAGGCCCTTCGTGGGCCATGTACTGCGTGACCCGGACAAAGGGCCTGGGCTTCAGGCTGGTTCGGACATGCCGCGCGCGAAATTACAGACGATCAGAACAAACATAAAACAAATATTAAGATACAAACACAATAATATGAAATTATGGGCAGGGAAAAAGGCAACGCGAAAGCCACATGTCCACACCTGCGCGAACCGCTGGCTCTTTGGTTCGGGCTGTGAATGACCTGCAGGCGTACCCTGCCAGGGCTGACAGAAGTCAGACCTCACATAGCAGTCATTGATTGAGATATCAAAACCTTCGCGACTTCTCCGCAACCGAACCAGGGGCTAGCATCTCACCACCAAGCCGAGTCCTCCACTCACGGGTCATCGGCTCATGCCATGGTAAGCGAACCTGAGCGCGTATTAAAAAGGGAGCTCCATCAAGCCCTCGAGTCTTTGAGTCTTAGGGCCCAGCGGCCATGATCAGGATGGCCTCCAGTTCGCTTGCAACACTGCACTTTGGGCCCATGTGCACTTTGCATGGCGCAGGCACATGTCCAGACGCCTTCCAAACGGGCAGCCTCTGGAACGGCCCCTTTGGTTCCTCTAGAGGCTGTCTATTGGGGGCCAACCACAACAGCAGCGCTTCCAACGGCCTCAGCAGTACCAACCACCATGCGCTGCAAGACCACGCCCTGCTCTATGCGAGCTGCACCACCAGGCCTGGCCCACAGGAAAGATAGCGCAATGCTGGGACTTACCAAGATGTTTCAATTCTCGTCTACGTTCAAAGAGCATTGGCCTTGTCCAAACCTGCCGAGCACAGGTTCAGCCCAGTGCTGCCCTGAGTAGACTAATTAGCAATCTGAGTCAGGCGGATAAGCATGCCCTGCGCACCATTGCAAGGATCTAACGCCAGGCGATCTGACATGCGACACCACCTCAGTATGAAAAGCCAAGCCACCAAGTACCTTTCAAAGTCTGCGAGCTGCTGGTGTCCGAGCAGACCGGCCATTGTATATCGAAGCAAAGGGCAGCACAAGTTGTGAAATCTGGTTTCCACCACCCACAGCACTAGATGCCGCCCAGTCACCAGGTCATACAAACGAGGAACCTGCACGGCTCCTATTTGCCAGGAACATCAGCTGCCATCAATTTTCAGAAAGCTTCGGCACCGCCTCTTGGGGAGCCATAGTCTCTGGCACTTGTGAGTCATCCAAGTTGGAATTTTAGGGGCGTGGGCACACGCTAAGAAATCCAATTGCCTCTGACCTGTCGCCATTTAAGCACTTTTGAGTACATGCAGGAACAAGACTTTGGAACTTGAGTTGGGCTTGCTTTTTGCAGGGGTACCCTATGTTTGGTGGTTCTGAACGGAAACTAAAAGGGAAACCACCAGTTTGGGGGAGTCCAACCACAAAAAAACACCTTCAATTCTTCATGTCTGTTCAAAGCTAAACAGACCTTCTCCAATCAGCAGTGCCTGCTCCTGAAGCAAAGAAGCCATGGGTGTTGGGGAAAGTCGCCCTTGAAATCAGAATATTTGCAGAATGTGAACCTTTTTTTTGATAGAGAGCCGTTGCAAGGGGATCTATCTGGCACAGCCACCTTTGGACTGAGGGTGCAGCCTCCAACACCCGACATGTGTCGGATTGCGCTTGAATGGGGAATGACAAACGATCCCTCCCAAAATAATGTTCCGACTTGCAAAAGACGGGTTGGGAATACAGAAAATGGACAAACTTGCATTCTGCCAGTCCGAAATGGACAAAACCGCTTTCCAAACCTTGCTAGAACAATACAAAACCCCATATTAAACCAGTATCGCAAACCAGCGCCAATCCAATTTCAGAGCAAAACGGACTGAGGCCTTCCCGGGCAGCTCTCGACAGCAAAACATCAAACGAAGTTTATGAAGCCACTAAAGCAAATGTTTGCTCTTTCTCTCTCTCTCTCTCGCAGAACTTTATGTCATGAGGGTGGAAAAGCTTTCAAAGAGGTGCTGGAACGCGTGAATTGAGGAATGCAAGCGGGCAGAAAGCGTGGCTGCAAAACTATAGCTCCTCGGGTGTGCGGAAGGCGCAGCTCTAGCTGACCCAGCCACCTACCTAATTAGCAAACTAGCCAGGTAGCTAACTCACTAACCAGCTCCAACTAGCTAACTTCTCTTGACTGAGTCATTTGCTTGAAACCTCTGCCTCCCGGCTTCGCCGCACATACGGGTAATGATTGAGAGTAGGAAAATTGAGCCAACTAACACTAAGCCAGGACAACAGTGAGACCCCCCAAGCAGCCAGACAACCAAAGTCCTGCTACACCCCTTCACTACCAAAACGCCCTGCTGAAGGGTCTGACCCCTGACAGCTCATCATTGACATGCTTAAGGGTCAGCAATTGAGAGAAGAAACACAAGCCAGTAGTGAGCAATCTAAGCAATATCGAGACAATACAAAACCATCAATAAAGCAATGCGAATTGACAATACAGCAAGATCGAGAAGCTGTGTTAAGCAATACCAAACCAACTCTGAACAAATACTAAACCGAACCAGTGCTGCTCCCTGCAAGAAATCGGCTCCCAAAGCTCGGTGCCTGCGCCTGCCACGAGGTGCGCACATCGGCCTGACACATTTTCAGGGGGAATGAAGAGCTGACCCTGAATGGAAAGTTACCCAAGGAAGTGCACTGCTGCCACGCTTTCGGATGGGGCATCCGAATAATCCACAGTTCGCCTTTGCCATCCCAGCCAACAACAAGCCACGGAGTTTGTCCTGAGAGTTTCTGGGTATCGTTTTCCACGTGCCCCACAGCCTCCTGCCACTTCCGCTTTGCGCCTGCCTTGAGGCGACAGGCGAGACCGGATTCGCGTGTCGGGCGAGCATCAAAGGCGAAAGACCCGCTGGGCAGCTGGCTTTCATGGGTTCCGAATTGCCTGGCCATTGCACTGACACCTCAAGAAACTTGGACCATACCGTAAGCATGAACACGTATCTGCACATTCGTCTGTCTGTGTGTGTGTGTTCGCGCTGTCACATCGTCACTTTCGATTTCAGGACGCCAAGGGAACAAACTCTCTTGCCTGAACAGCAACGCATGGGCTGGTGGAGAGTCACCTGCAACATGACAGCGGCATCCGATTTCCAGCCGCCTCGATAGTCACTAACAAGCGCCAACATGCAAGTGCAGGGATCAGCATCCACTGTGCGGATCCAACAGTCTTTCTTTGCTATTGCAAGGGGGGGGCCTCCTGAATAGCATTGACTAACCCTCGTTACTCGCTTCCATCGTGGACAGCCGCTCTCAAGCCGGCAGCTCTACGCTATGCCTCGCGAGAAGCAGCTTGCCCAAAGCAGTGCAAAAGCAGCGCGAAGCCGGTGACAAATGTAGCAATTTCTATTTGAGTGGGAATGAGAAGATCCAAATGTTGTCATTCGGATCCGCTCGCTCTGGGATGAAGTATTTGCTGCAAAGTGTGTGGAACTTGAAAAGCTTGCTGAAGAGCTTGCGATCCATAGAGCCAAGAAGGCCAGCAAATGCGAAGAGCCAAAGGAAAAGATTGGTGCAATGGTTTTGGGGGACCCCCCTAAAACGGGCATTGCGAAAACAGACCAGAAAGGACAAAAAACAAATGACACACCCATATCATGAAACCTGCCAGGACGCCCTTGATGTTACTATACCAACCACTCCACATGACAATCACGACAGCAAGTCCTTTGGTCGGAGCTCCTGCGGCAAAATCCAAACTAAAACAAAGCGAACCAGGAAAATCGTGAACCAAGCAACGACTCTCAGTACAAGCATGCGAAGGAACAAAGCAACTGAATTCTGTGCAAAGCCAGCTTGATGAAAAATCCACAATCTTGCTCAATGTCCATGCAGGATGGCAAACTTGGACCGACTTTATTGCGTTCCCCTTGACGAGACAAACAGAATTTCACCTCTGTCAGTTTGAGTGACTCAGACTCGAGTCTGCCCTTATCGCGCGGTCCTCGAACTTTCGTGGCAGCTTTGCCTGGCACAAAGCGTGCCTTGAGCCGCCCCCTCGCCACGTAACCAGCCGCGATCTCTGGCCTTCAACTTCGCTGTCCGAGCCGGAGAAAGCACCTGAGGGATAAGCTCCTTGGCACCCAAATGGGTGGCTCGTCTAAATCCCAAGAATTGGGGAACTACTCAAAAAAAGCCACACCCACATGTCCTGCAACCCAGCAGCCCACCCCGGTTCTAGTGCCCAAATGCTAGAATGCGATCTTCACTTGTGGAAATGACAAGACCCTTCAATTTCCAAAAACAATGCAAGTACCCAAAATCTTGGTGGAACTGACAGAACGCTCATGTCCAATCAAGCTGTCACAAGCGACAAACTGGCCTGCGATCTTCCCTAGGCGTCGCCGACCTGCAAACAGAAAGGCCAGCGCATGAGGAAACCCTCCTGCAATATTCGACGACAATCTGTTCATGCTGTACCCCGGGACTGCGTACTGGCCGCAGCCATGTTAAACTTGCATTTAAACATCACTATGACTATCGCATCTATCTTCGCAATATGATCTCTCTGCAAGTGCTCTAAAATGGTTGAGCAAGGCATGGCAAGTGTCGCAGCAGCAGTGTGCCACAGTAGCACGAACAGATTCATCGGCAGCTAAGCAATGTCTATCTCATAGTGTAGACCGTCCAAGTGCGAGCTTTTCGTTTGCGGCTGCACGGACAGGACTGGCCAATCCTGTACACAGCCAGTGGACGAATGTGGGTGAATTCAAAGGGCGATCGTTGCACGTGGTGCAGAGTCTCAATTTCGCAACAACGCCAAGCGCGATGCTGCATGCTGAATTGCCATGCTGTGGCCTTCTGCTTTCGCCTTGATGCACAAGTCACAAACAGAATCCACTAACAGGGCTCTGTTCTTGTGTTCAAGAACAGAAATTGTTGCAGTTTTCTTGCATGACATCACTCTTTCATCAGCATGGATGCTCATGAGAGGCTGAGCACTCCAGCATGCACCCCCTGCCAAGAGGAAAACAGTCAGGGGAGGTGACACAATATCTCCCACGGCTGCTATCACCTTTGACTGCAGCCTCCTGTGCAAGTGGCGAGTCCAATCTGAAAATTCAAGTTTCGAGATAATTTTCCGAGAACCCTTGGCTCAGCACTTGATCTCCACCCCTCTGCATGCAGGGAGTCAGTGTCCAAAAAAATTGACTCCCAATCCACATCCGCTGTCCTCCTACAATACGTTCACCATCACAAAATGGCGCAGCTGGTTCCAAACCTTGCGACAAGCGGCTATTGGCATCAGCAAGGCTCAGCTCGAACTGAGCGTGGCACTGCCGCTTCTTACCACCCGTGCGCTGCACAGCTGGTTTCCCATTCCTCAAGCACGGCTGGCTGGTTTCCCCTGCTATGAAAGCAAAGGCTTGACTCGACTCCATTGATTCAAATCGGGTACAAAAGTTCAAACTGTTGCTTTGGTTCCAACCGCCAACAAAAAATATAGAAGGTCAAAAGTTTGAAAGTTTAGTTTGGACAAGTTGGCTAGTTACAGGGCCAAGCTGTGTGGAAATGTGCAACTCACACCATTGCGGAACCCAACTGTGTCGATTTCGTCCCTGCTTGTGCTGGCACCGTCATGAAGAGCATGGTGCCAGTTGAGAAGTGCCCGAAACCCATTGGCTTTTGGTTCCACCACCATGGTTATATGGTTTATGTAGGCCTTTCTACAACCCTTATGAAACAAGGTCGTAGAACCACCTACTAAAATGGCCAATGGCTATTTTGGGCGCTGCTCACTTGGAATCAGCACCAAGCTTCGACAGCTTGAAAGGTTGGTCGCTAGGCCCGGCATCTTCTGCAGGTTGTCCAGCCTGCACGCTGGCGAGGCGTGAGTGTGTCCCAAATGTGGTCATGTTGGAGCGCTTCCACTAAAGGCAGCAAAGAAGAAGCGGGCCCCACATAAATGCCATGCTCGGACCAATTTCTGCAAGCGCTCACAAGTGCTTCATGTCCCTTTTCGTTCCAGGGAATGAACAATTCAAAACCCACTGCTGCAAAATGTCCTTCGCAGCTGCACTCCTTTCCTCGGATGTAGGCACTCAGCACGGCACGTCAGGGCTCTAGGCTCCCGGCAGCCATTGGCTTGGATGCAACCTGCGCAAGTTCCCAGCTGTTTGAAGGCTAAGATGGCTAAGCACAAAGCGCTCAACGTCGAGGTGCACAACTCGGGCCTCCTCAATGGACATCATGCTGGCCTTGCCCAGGGATGCCTGCAGGATGGGCGCGGGAACTGGTCCACCCTAGGGAAAACAGGTGCCGAATCTGATTAAATCCCGGTGCCAAGTCCACACCGTCCACACCATCCACACCGTCCACACCCAAAAGGGTTTTGTTTCCCTCGTTGAACGTCCACAGCCATGGCCTCGCCGCCATTCTTGACAAATTCGCCTCCCAGGTGGGTGAAGACCTGATTCGCTGGGCACCCCTGCACGCCTTCTGTCAATCAAGCCAAACCACAACCACAGAACCAGTGACCAGCGCACCATGGGAAAGGCCAACATATTTGTCATGTTCATATCCCTGCGCTATGCCAAGCCTCTGTGACATTCAAATCATCCTTGACGCATGTCCTGGATATGGGTGGCTTGCCGTCTCCACTCCGCATGATTTGTCCGTTCGCATAGGACTCCTGTAGAGCTTGAGGCGCAGCTTCTTTGCCAGCCTCGCTGCAAGCAAAAGCACCATTGTCTTGCCCACGGACTGAGCTGCAAACGTCTCAACCTCTTTCGCTTCCACCACTGCATCATCCATTAGGTCCACCTAATCGAGAACGGGATAGCAAAACCTCTGAGCCTGCAAGTTGCCCTTGATGCCTCGCCTTGTTCTGTACCAAGACCATGGCCAGCTGCCCACATTCGTCGTGAACCTGCAAAGCCACCGCTGATCGTGAAGAATCCGAAAAGAATCCAAAATCCCAAAAGGACTGGAGTCCAGGTTGGCCACACCATGCCACGCCTTCTTGTACCAGGACTCCACTGCATCGAAAGAATCTCTGTCGGTGGTGGAGAAGGCCAGGATGCAGGCACCCGCGCCCTAGGGCCGCTAGGGCCCAACCCGATCGTTCGATCGTTCGGTGTGTCGCAAAGCGGGCCTTGTAGTACGCCCGAGTGATTGCATCATACTCCTCCTGACCGGCAGTATCCCACAAAAGGTAGGTGACCTCAGGTGCGAGAACCGTTGTCAAGCTACGAATGACTGATGTCACGTGCCTCCTCGCCGACATCCTTCAAGTGCATCCTCTTTTCCAGAAAGTCTACTCCTTGAAAAAGCATTCAAATATTGGATTGAAAGAATATGCCAGCGCGTATTAGAAATCTCCACACAGTTGCTGAACATCGCCACATGCACAAATAAGCATCTGGCCGATGGTCTTCTTGTATTCGTTTGTGAAAATGCCCTTTGCGAAGCGCGTAATCCTGCCATCTTTGCTGCGGGATTTCCCCCGATTGTCCAGAATTACGGCTACACGATTCCTTACATGATGGGCCCACGGCTGCGAGCGACTTTAGCATCCAAAAACAGGATGCCAAGAGCAGACTTGGAAGCCGACATGGACGTCTTGCCCACTTGCCCATTTCCGACGACGATCACCTGCAAGAAAAGTCCACACTTCCAATCGCACAGTTCATTGACCTGCCTTCAGTGTGATGTCCACATCCTGCTCAAGCATTCTTGCTGGTGCGCAAGGAGGCTGAGAGCTATATCCTTGGAATCAAAAGTAAAGCAATACGGTCGTCACTGGACCTCTGATACAATCAGCAACTTGACGGCAATTTGCTGCCAAGACTCCGGCTTGAAGTGTTTGTTGCGCTTCAAATCTCTACTGCCCAGTTTGGCGAATGCTGTTGCGCATTTGTTCGGTTTCTGGCACTGTGCTGACTGGGTGATCTCGTGGCTGAGTGCGGTGCACTTGAAGCAACGGGCACGAGGCCGTGCTCTATGCATGTGCCGCTTCGAGCAGCGGAAGTAAAGGCGCGAGCAAATGCACTCATGCTCATAACCCCAGGCTGAAGACTATACGAATGACCAAACAAAACAATAAACATCAGGCGTTTCGTGTTTGTAGGCATTCCGCTTGGCAGAGCTCCTTGCCTTCGGCGGCATGTTCGGCTTCCTCGTGCTCCCGACGAAGCCTGTCTCCAAAGCTGGGGACCCTTCCACTGAGAAAGCATGGTCATATTCCCAAAAGCCATCAAAAGCCTTAGCTGATGATCCTTCAAATAGAACTTAGCATTCAATCCCTGAAGCGCTGACGGTGTTTGACGCCCAAGAAACCTGGCGACTCCATGCCTTCGGTTGATCGCCTTCCGGGCCGCTTTGCCCAATGGCTGCAATTCTTTGGCAGGCTCCTCCTGCGACCAGCCCTAACCTCAATCGGGACAGTAATGTCAACTTTGGAGGACAACGACTCAAAAGGGGGTCATTAAAGCAGATGAAGGAAACTCTACTAGAAGGCGCAGGGTCTAAACAGCCTGCCCCAGCGACTGCCAGCAACATGCCAAGTGGTAGGCATACCCGCTCGAGCGCTTCCCACCACCGGCTGCACGCGTGCCAGCCCATTGTTATTGCGTTGCTCGAGCAATGGTTTTTGTACAAATGTTAGCATGTCGCAGCGTGCAATTCGGCCCCAATTTTGCGAAGTGCCTGCCTGGTGTGCTGGTTTTCAACCCGGACTTGCAGAACTTGCAACCAAAGCGCCGGTGGGTATGTCAAACTAAGTAGAACGGAATTCGTGAAGCCAACATGCGCATTGGCTGCAGGCGGTGCTCGAGCGAACTCCCATTCGCCCACCCCGAGTTCCCGGTCAGCCTTTGCAGGAGTTGCGCCCACGCCCAGCCGTCCTGACCTGCGGCGCCAGACTGTCAGTCTGGAACGCAAGCAAGGTCAAGGCCGAGGAAATCAGAAGCCTCGCGCCTATGACGCGAGGCTACCTCTACCAGCCAAGCAGTACCTGCATGACACATGACCAAAGATGCAAAGAAACAGTGGGCGGAGTGGGGGAGGAGTGAGGCCATCTCGACTGCCCACACGACAACTCAGGCAGCCTTGGCTGCTCTCATCAGTTGCGCTCTTGTAGTCGTCAAACCTCAGATTCTGAGCGGAATTTCTGGTCGCTTCAAACATGACCCGAGGCAAGCTGGAGACCCCTTTCCAACCCAGCTTCCGTGAGCCTGTTCATTGAGGGAATTGGATATTTGAATACGAATCAGCCCTGGGCCAGGAGGCCACAACGCCCTCGTCCGGATCTTCGAAGTCCACCAGCACGTCCTCCGGACCTAGCTCCTGCCGGCCGAATGTAGCCAAGACGCAAAACGCGGTGCCTGCCTAAATCACCGCATTCCGCTGTAGATGTCCATCTGAAACCGACAACTTCTTCCCACGAGCCCCGTGCACTGGCCTTGGATTTCTGCCCGGGTCCGCGAGGCATGCTGAATCATGGTGGAATACCATAGCACATAACTTGGCAATCCGCATCTAGGCAAGAATTTGAGCATCGGATTAACCCTCATACCACGGACCCCACAGCAACCCAAGCCCAACTGATGGTCAACACATGCCTTGCCGACATTGGTGACTTGTGCCTTCAATAAAACGATATGTTCTCTGGTATCCCCCAGAGATTGGCAAATCATCGTGAATGAAAACACGTACCTGTTGTAACCAGGACGTAGCAATGGCTCATCAAGTGTAGTCGAAATGGGAGTGCTACGGCGCGACGGGGGCAGCGGCATCAATTTCGAAGTGCCAACGTGGTTGTGGCCCACAGAGAAAGATTCAGGGTCAACGCATGGAACAAGCTGCGAGACTTAATGAAGCGTAGAGAGGAAAACTACAATATCATGCTCAACCACCTTCAACAATGGTACTCTTGCGCTGCAGGCTAGCCCTCATGTCTTCCACTCCCATATCTTTTTGCAGCATGCACGGCCTGGTCAGTCCTCCACAAAGTCACTTGTGAAAAAGACATCCAGGCAGCGAACTTGCAGGGTCAACAAAGCTGTGCAAACAGGAACTTGTTAACAGGTCACTGCTAATTTTACGATGTCCTTGCCCTGTGCTGCTGTGCTACTACGTGTGGCGGGATTGGCCGAGTGCCTCATAACAGGCAGCAGTAGCATGTGATACCGATGCAGTCTCAGCACCGATGAGGTAATGGCATTGTTTCTATGCTGTGTGAGGATGAGACTGCGTGAGACCGCTCGCTTGGAAGCGGGCTTGTGTCTCCTAGAAACCGTTGTCCCAACGCTTCGCCAACTTGCAGTCTCCCCCCTGCATGTTTGGAGGAAGTGGCAGCTTGGCAGCAACATTGAAGCAGAAAAGTCACCCAACTGCACGTCAGAGATGGCATTCTCAGCCCCGACTTCCCATCAATGAGCCCAGCAGCTTCTGCTTGGCACCTGGCCACGCAACTTGCAATGGTCGCGTGCTTTGCCCGAAAGGCTAAGAAGCGCACTTTGGGTCGCCTTTTGGAACATCTGTTCTGCCTGCAAAGGAGTGCTTGCAGACAGTGACCAGCGCTTGCAATGAGTTTCGGGCCTGTGCGCTCTGGGTTACTTCTGTCTCATCGATCATCTTGATCCGTGCCGAGATTTTCTCGTCATCAGTCTCCATGATGACTCCGTTGTCGGTCACCTGCGGCATGGTGAAAAAAATGTTAGAGGCGATCACCCACAACAACGCCTTATCTTCAAACTTCTGGTGGTTGCTGGAAAACACAAAAAGAACGACCACTGCTGCTACCAGAGAACAAAGGGCGCGGGGATAGAAATGAATCTATGGCCGTACGACGGAAAGGCCTCGTCCAAAATGAAGAGGACATCAGAAAGGTTATCCAACACAAGCTGCTTGGTGAGGCCAGAGGACCTGCAACGTGTCATGACGGGCAGCTTGCACCCGGGTAGCTGCTTCGCATGGCATTGGACAAAACAAATAAATAAGCCAGCGAGTCTTTAAAACCTCCACGCCACATCAGGACTACGTTTGAGTGGGTACGCTCATGATGACCACCATGCGGTCACAACACAATCTTATGCTGCTCTTCTTTGTCTGTTGCTTGCCCAGCGTGTGTTGCTTCCACTAAATCCTGTTTCTTGGGCTAGCAAGGATGTTTGCAAGTTTCAAGCTTGGGTGACGACCTCCCGCTGCTTGCATTGAGGGCGCAAGCAGAGTTGATCGTGCAATGTTGGTAAACAGGAGAAGGCAGCGCCAGCAGTGTAAGCGTTGTTAAGCTTTAAATATGGTAAGGAGTACAAGCCGCACAAAGGGTCCAAATGTAGTGAAACCTGGCAATAAGCACTGAACGTGAAGCAAGCCATGTCAGCAATGCAAATGGGGACAATAGTGCAAACGTTCCAGCGTTGACAGCGGTGTAAATTACGCACAATGCTGCGGTGCAATATTGGTTCTCGTGTCAGCAAGGTTTGAAACCGTGCTTTTCTGCCCCATTGTATTACCTCATGTGTGGGCAGTCACAAGCCATCACAAACACCACAAAATGTCCTCCATCCCCCTGACAAGCATTGCTGACGTCACTGCAGGCCCAAGTAAAGCAGACATGCGTCTGACTGGGGTTCAAACATGCTGAGCTGCTGGCAAAAAGCTTTGACTCTGGCATGCGCTCGACAGCGCATTGAACATGCCTTCTGCCTGAAGCGCATGCATGAAAGCCAAGTTAGAGCAGCAGGGCCGTGGCTCAACATTTGTCAATCTATCCGATCCGTTGGTGAAGGGCCAACCTGAGGCCTTTCAAGCTTGAGGCAAATTGATGTGTCCGAAAACTATGAACACCTTCCAATTGGTTGCCTTTCTATTTTCAAGCACCATCCCATTTTTTGGAAAGACCGAAAACTGCATCTAGACAAAACGGCGCTTAGCATTCGGCAAGCTCCAGCACGACTAACTCGTTCTCGCTGGCAGCAGCCACGGCTGCTACGACCACGTCGTTGCAAGCCTGGCCGCGAAAGGGGATGTGGATAGGTCAGCCGGATAACCAAGTGAACTAAGGAGAATCCAAAATGATTCAGCAAGGCGTAATAGTCCTGTGTGCAAATTAACCAGTTTTTCTGTACCCAGCTTTACGATGTGTGGCAAACAACCCAAACGCAAGAAACCCTTGACCAATTGAGACAGCCTGAAATATGACGGTGTAATCATCAATGACTGCGACATCCACATCACTCCGGGTTGCAGATGGCTTCGGCAGCTTGTTGATGACCTCAGCCGGTCTTAGACATTCAAAAGCAGCCAAACAACGAACAGCTAATTCAACTCATGGGCTTACCAAGTGAAAGCGAGCAGCACAAGTCACTGCCATGTAATTAATGATTTGCGCTAAGATCCACGCTCGCTTCTCAAAAGCGACCTGTTGCTTCACTGTCTGCCACAGCTCCTTCCCACTGCGTTTTTGTTTCTGAAACGCCAACCTTCCAACCGGTGGATGCGTTTCATGTGTTGCGCCGGCAACACGCGGCTCCTTTCGCGCCAGGGAATTGTATTTCACTGCTAGGCGCCCACCGTCGGTGTCCAGGACAAGGAGTGCCTCAGAACCAAAACTGGGAGGGACTCATCCGCTTCGGAGAGTTCGCTGCACCGTGCAGTTTTTTTATTGAGATGCGCATCACTGAGTTGTTGAAAAAGGATGTCATGGCAACAATGACTGCTGCAGGTCCACAGTGTTGGCGGGTAAACTATTGCGTCACTTTGTCTGGCCTGGCATTGTCAGCCAGCAAGACTACCTTGCAATCAAATCCATCCGATTTTACTAGGACAACCGCACCGCTTCCAAATCGAAACGGGCAGGCCATATATCCAAGGCGCCAAAATTTGTACCAAGCCGTCCTCCGCCATGACCTCCAGCCTTCTTCTATCCACTGCTAGCTGCGACAAGCCAAACATGTCCGGCCAAACACTTCAGGTTTCGTTGGCCTCAACAAACATGCTCTGAACCGTGCCCCCAGTCATCTCAGCCCTTTTGCGCTGAGCTTCAGATGGCACTCAAAATGCGGCTGCGCCGCAGCCTTCAGCTCGCTGATGAGTATATACACATAGACAGACAAACAAACAAACAAAGAAACAAAAGCCAAGCAAACTAACAAACAAACAAACGAACACACACACACACACAAGCACACCTTCACACTAACGCGCACCAAAACACACACACACAGACACAGACACACACACACACACACACACAAACCCACACCCACGCCCACGCCCACGCCCACGCCCACACGCACACGCACACGCACACGCACACGCGCACGCGCACGGGCACGCACACGCACACGCGCACGCACAGGCACAAGCACACACGCACGCGCACGCGCATGCACACGCACACGCACATGCACACGCACACGCGCACGCACACGCACACGCACACGCGCATGCACACGCACGCGCACACGCACATGCACACGCACACGCGCACGCACACGCACACGCACACGCGCACGCACACGCACGCGCAGCCGCACCCGAACCCGCGCCCGCACCCGCACTCGCGCCCGCACCCGCACGCGCACGCGCGCGCGCACACGCGCACGCACAGAAGCACACACACACACACAAACACACACATACGTACATACATACGTACATACATACGTACATACATACGTACATACATACGTACATACATACGTACATACACACACACACATTCGTACATGCACGCACGCACGCACGCACGCATGCATGCATGCATACAGGCATGACATTGCAAACAACATTCAAAACAAAACACAACGGTAACAATCAGCAAACTACAAATAACACACAACAATCAACAAACAACGAACAAAAGCAGAAGCCACCAACAACAACCAACAAACAACAAACAAAAACCAAAGCACAAAGCAACCAACAACAAACAACAAACACGCAGGCAAAAAACAAACAAACAGCCATGGATCAAAATCCCGTACCCCCAGTGAACATCCCAATCCCGACGAAAATAAACTGGGTGGTGCACCTACCCCAAAATGGTACCATTGGCTTTGACCCACAGCCAAACAAGAAACGGCAGACCACGTAACAAAACAAACAGCAAACGACAATCACAAAACAACCAACAAACAGAAACAACAAACAACAAACAACAAGCAAAACACATCCAACAACAAACAACAAGCAACAAACAAACAAACAAACAAACAAACAAACAAAAAACAAACAAACAAACAAACGAACAAACAAACAAGCAAACAACAGTCAATAACAAACAACAAACAACTGACGACGACGACGACGACGACGACGACGACGACGACGACGAAAACAACAACAACAACAACAACAACAACAACAACAACAACAACAACAACAACAACAACAACAACAACAAACAAAAACTGCAACCCGCCCACCGTAACTTATTCCGATTTTCTCTATTATATTGTGGAAACAAATACTGCAGCCCCGTCGTGTAGTTTACCCCCCCTCCCCCCAACAACAACAACCACCACCACCACTGCAGCGCTGCAAAGGCGGCCGGTGCAAAAGGTGCGGTTTTTTTTGTTGGGGGGTGGTGCCGGGGGGGGTCAAAATACACAAGGGGTCCAGTTTTTGTCTGTAGGAGGGGGTGAAGGAAACAACCGGATTAAAAAGGAGGGGGGTTCAAAATGCACAACGGGGCTCCCGTTTTTGCTTCTCGGATAGGGTGCAGGTCAACTAACCAATGAAGCCACCGCTATGTGCGTAATGTATGTCATGTGTGCATGTATGTATGCAGGTAGCGCTGCCCTGCTGGCTGTTCTGTGCTGTGTCGCGCAAGGTCCACCACTCGGGATCAAGCCCTTGCTGCTGCGCTGGCTGTGCTGCGCTGCGCCGCGCACTGATGTCCACCACCGGGGGCCAGTCCCATAAAATGGTGGTTGGGTTTCCAAGCCGAAACCCCCCCCCCAATAGAATGGTGGTTTCCATGTTTGGTTCTCAAGGGGAAACCCCAATAAAATGGTGGCTTCCACGTTGGGTTGCTAAGGGGAAGCCCCCGCAAAATGTTACATTCTCCCGCTACACGCACAAACAGTGCGCTGATTCCCGGACCCTAAGGGGAGCCAGGGCAGCCTCACAAGTCTATAGCCATTGTCTGGCTGGATGCTTGAATCCTTGGGCGCCTGTTTTTTGTGTCTGCCACAACAACAACAACAACAACAACAACAACAACAACAACAACAACAACAACAACAACAACAACAACAACAACAACAACAACAACAACAACAACAACAACAACACAACACAAGAACACCAGAAAAAATACCAAGAACACCAAGAAGAACACCAAGAAGAACAACACCAACAAGAACACCACCAACAAGAACAACACCAACAAGAACAACAACAACAAGAACAACAACAACAACAACAACAACAACAACAACAACAACAACAACAACAACAACAACAACAACAACAACAACAACAACAACAACAACAACACACCAAGAACACCAGAAAAAATACCAAGAACACCAAGAAGAACACCAAGAAGAACAACACCAACAAGAACACCACCAACAAGAACAACACCAACAAGAACAACAACAACAAGAACAACAAGAACAACAACAACAACAACAACAACAACAACAACAACAACAACAACAACAACAACAACAACAACAACAACAACAACAACCCCAACAACAACAAGAACAACAAGATTAACAAGAACAACAAGATTAACCAAGATTAACCCATTAACCAAGATTAACCAAGATTAACCAAGATTAACCAAGATTAACCAAGATTAACCAAGATTAACCAAGATTAACCAAGATTAACCAAGATTAACCAAGATTAACCAAGATTAACCAAGATTAACCAAGATTAACCAAGATTAACCAAGATTAACCAAGATTAACCAAGATTAACCAAGATTAACCGAGCTTTCCACATGATCCGTACGTGTTGCCGTGAGTGATGCGAGCCCAGGTTGGTACCTTGCCCGGTCCTCAGCCTTGCTTGCAGCTTGGTTGCGTGAATTGTCGCAGCGCATGTTGGTTGGCTTCCTTGCAATCGTGTCACGCGTCGCTTGCTTTGCATGTGTGACCGATCCGATCGTTGTGTTGGCCGTTGGTTGTGTTGGTTGGTGGCGTGAAGTCCGTCATATGAAGAGGCAATGATGGGGCAGGATGTGCCCGAGCCTCGCATGAATGAATGGTTGAGTGCGTGGAGTGTGTCCCGCTCAAGTCTTGGGACATAGAATCCCAGCCAAAATATGGCTTTGCTCGACAGCACCGTGGAGCTGCGGAAGCGAGCCGAATCCTATGGAATGAGTGATGCATCGTGCGATAAGTTTGTGAAAGAAGCCCCCACCTTGGCTGCATTAGCCTTTGTTCTGGGGGGGCAACCAGGCTCCATTCAGGAAGAGCCATTCCAGAAATGGACCGATGCGCTGGGCATTACAGACCAGCCCGAACTGCTTGCATGCAGGCGCCTTCTTTTCGAAGCACACACGCTCATGATTGCGCATGTGAAAGAGCAAGTCAGTGGCTCTTCCTCACAAAACGGCTGCCGCCCCTCGAACGACAATCCCGCCTCGACAAGTTACGCAAAGATATTCAGGTCCCGGTCCGTGGAGATTCAGAACCAAGCCATGAGCTTGTCCAGTTCTTCACCGGCATGATAGAGGCCAAATGCCTCCAGCGCATCCCGTTGCACAGGTGTGCGTCCCGTGAAGCTGAGGTGGCAGTCCCGCCCCAGGGACGCGGCAAGCAAGTTCTCCGCCTTGAGAATGGTGCTCTGGAGGTCTCCCAGCAGAATCACGTCAAAAGCGTGGACGTGACTGATGGCTTGCGAGTGGCAGCTTGTCTTCATCGAAGGGCAGCTGCCATGGCCATCGCTGGACTGATCTCGTACGGGGTGGCCCAGAAATGGAGTGAGAAATTGGCTTCGGCATTGCTACGCGCCGTCCCGATTTTCTCCGATTTCCATCCTGCCAGCAGACAAAGAATTTTGGCGGATTCTGGCAGAAGATGTCAAGGCAGAGTTCATCCCCAAGCCCGATGGATCGTTGCCCTTGGACACGGCCTTCCCCGCAGTCCTGGTCCGCCCGGAGGTCCTGATCCATTTGAGCAGGCGATCCTGTTTGCTACAACTACAATCTGGCCCGCGGTTGGTAAGCATGTGTGTATGAAGTGCTTCGGCACTCACCCTCAGATGCAGTGTCGCAAGTGAAATGGCGGCTCGGGGGCCGACCCTTTGCCGCAGCTGAATTCGGCTGAGCCGGCTCCAGGCACCGCGCCTTCGGTGCGCTCAGTTTTGGTGCTGGAGCTCTTCGCCGGGTCGGCCCGTATTTCACAGGCATGCCTCGCATATGGATTTCAGGTCATCCCAATCGATTCAGCGTCGGCACCGGGGATGCGTAGTTTGGTACTGGATCTACGCAATGTTGGGGAACAGATTTTGCTCCTGGAGATTTTTCACCGATGCGCCTCCGTGCGGCACGTCTTCAAGGGCTAGGGTCCAGCGTCTGGGTTGCCCCCCAGCCGCCCGCTACGTTCAGAGATGTTCCCTGACGGGCTCCCCGATCGGAGTGCCAACGAGCTGTATGCCTTGACGGCCATCCTGATAGAGGCAGCGCGGGACATCAGCTTGTTGTGGGTGGTGGAGCAGCCGTTGCGTTCCCCTGGCATGGCACACATCCTGGCTATCGCCTCATGTTCAAAATGGTGTCATGAACGAAACGCACTTTTGCGCATTTGGAGGTCAGCGGCTGCAGCGGACGGGGTTGCTCTCTGACAGACAGTTGCCGGCTTTGGTTCGCCAGTGTGCTGGGGATCACCCCCATCTCCCATGGCGAGGAACCGAAGGTTTCCGTACGGCTGAGGAGACCGCATACCCCCCGTCCTTTTGCGAACGGGTTGCGGCCTTTTGCCTTGCCG